AGCAGCATCAGCATCAGCATCAGCATCAGTATCATCATCAGCATCATCATCATCGTCATCATTATCACCACCACCATAATATGTAGCCACATCGCTGTATCGTCGTCACGATACGCTGCATCAGATCGGCATCATCAGAATCACAAACCTTACACATCATCAACAACATTATCATCAGCATAATCAGCGTCATCAGCGTCCCAATCACCCCCATCGACGACATAACATCACCAGAGCACCAGCATCATCAGCATCAACAAAAACACCTCATCACCATCACCACCACCATCGCCATCGCCATCGCCATCGCAATCACCATCACCATCGACATCATCAACATCATTATCACCATCATCACCATCACCACCATCATCATTAACAACATCATCACCATCATCAGCATCATCATCAGCAGCATCAGCATCAGCATCAGCATCAGCATCAGCATCAGCATCAGCATCAACATCATCATCATCATCATCATCATCATCATCATCATCATCATCATCATCATCATCATCACCATCCCTTTCTCATCCTCATCCGCATCCGTTCATCAATCCGTCACCCCATTCGTGTATCCTTCGCTATCCACCCCCCTCGTCATTCCCCCCTCCCCCTTCCTCCTTCCCCCTTCCTCCGTACTCATGCCTCCTCTCCTAATCCACTGAAGGGGGGAGCCGACGGGGACTGACTCAGGATGGGGGAACAACGACCTGGAATCGAGGATACCTGCCAATAGATCGGCGACATGCCCTTGATGGGGAGCCCCCACATTCCTGGGCAGGTTGGGACACCCAGGCCCCCATCGGCCAAGAATAAACGATACGGGGGTCGACACATTCCCCCCTGAGCCAGTCCCCCAGTTTCGGCGCCACTGGTCCACGTTCCCCGCCCTTCCTTCCCTCCACTCTCCCTCCACCCCTTTCAATAACTCGGTGTCCTTGCTCTGCAGCATGCCGTCGGACACCGCCCACGCCACCGCCGCCGCCTCCTGGGGAATCGAACGGGTACCGACACCGCCACTGCACGGACCTCTCCCGAGGTGCGCTGTGACCGGAATCGCGAGGAGCACGCAGCCGTAGAGACGAGGGCTCTCCAGGACGAGCGGCGGCATCGGTACCCAGACCCCCGACGTCATTACTTTTTCTTTTTTGGGGGGGGGAGAAGAAGGAGGGGCAAGCAGGAGGGGACGATCGCAACAGCTCTCGAGCCACCAGTGCACTCCGTGGCGACACGCGGCAGAGATTGACCAGCGGCTATATGTACAACAACATCCCAAAAATAAAATAGCACTGGCGAGAAGAACTGAAGTGGCCGGCCGGGTAAACGTCACCACATTCAGGGGGGGAGGGGACACAGCGTCATTGCTCTTTCACAGCGACGACCCACGGAGGTCTCGACGAACTTCCTGGGGCTGGCTTCTCATCGTGAGCCGTTCATTCTGCTGATGGCCCGCGGCGTGGGCCTCCCAAGGCAGAGGATGGCCAAGCACGCCCCGTCGTGCTGTTTTTTCTCTGCCCGAGACGCGAGGGGCTCTTTATGGGCTTCGTCAACGGGGGTTTAGCCCAACGGGGGCTCAGGCTTTCCCATATACCCCCGCTTACTGTACCCCCGTGCACGGCGCCCAGGGCCCCCTGAACGGGGGCACGGCCAGACGTGGAAACCGGCGTTCCCCGCACAGTCGAAACACTGCCATAAGGAACCCGAAATAAGGAACGAACCCCCTTGTTTCCACGAGTTAAACTTTGATTCCCCATCGAGGACCTAAGGAAAACCTCAGACAAGCTGCAAAACGGTCAAGGGACACTGAGCCCTTCCCCAACGAAAATGGCTCCTTCTCCACGGGCCCGACTGTACCCGGGTCTGCTGTGCCCCCGTCTCTGGCGCCCTGATCGGCTACACGCAAGAGTGACCCTGGGTAAGAGTGACCTTTGGTGCCCGACTTTTTGGGGGCCGCGGGGATACCAAACCTGGGCGCGCAAGCAGCTGCTACTGCTTCGTTTTCAGCCATCTGGGGACCCATCTGTGCCCGCACCAAAGGTCACTCCGGCGAGAGGTCACTCTTACGTCTAGTCGACCTGAGCTCTGGGCATCCTCTCCTCCCCGGGCCCTCCGACGGGAACGACGCCGGCCGCGAGCGCAGCCACGCGGCGGTCTGCGCGAAGCGCTCCGCCGCGGTGCCCTCGACGCAGTCCACGAGCAGCACGGCCCGCACGGGCAGCTGCGGCCTCCGGCGCGCTCCCGCGGCGGCGGCGCGGACGGCGATGGCGTTAAGTCGGGCATGTCCCCCCAGAGGCAGATGTTCGACGAGAAACGAAACATACCCCCAAACATATTCGAAATGGCCCAAACAATAGGAAAGACAAATAGGCCCCAGGCTATTTCTTTGACTGTTCTTGGAATATATACTCCTCCTGTAGAGGGACAGCCCCGAGTTAACGATGGCGCCGCCCAGCGAGTGCCCGGCGAGCAGGACGTCGGCGCCGTCGAAGGCCCC